AGATTATTGATATGGAGCAGATATATATTCTGAAAAAAATGTTAATTTGCATAATTGGATAAAGATCAAACTAATGTACTATAGGAGAGAAGAACTTAGAAAAGTAGAACAAGAAAAAATAGAAGGGGCGACAATTATAGGTACAATATTTATAAAATACTATTTGACATGAGAGCAAACAGTGTAATATTCCCAAAGAATAATGCTAAAATTGAAACGCTGATTCATCCATGTGAAGAGAAAGAAGACAAAAGCTAAAACTTAATTTTATTGAACAAAATTTACATAATAAAAATCTTATTCCAGAAATTAACAAGAAGAGTAGTATAGATATATGTAGATAAACTTAATAACAGTAGCATGCCTTGGTACCAAAATTTTGAACCACGTATATTAAAGTTCAAAAATAGATAAAAGCNAAGGATCATTTTCGAAGGAAGGTCTCATGCATGGATCCAAATCCAGCCCCATGCTGAACAAATCCTTGTGTTGAAATGCTTTAAGACCCAAGAAGTCTTTTGTACTCAACCCATCATCATGATTCTTCACCGCTTCTGATCTCTTTGATGAATTTGTGGTTTCCCCATTGAAAGAGAAATTGGTACTACTTGACATTATCATCATCTCTTGAAGAAGAGGAGAATGCGTCGTAGATGAGCCGCCATGAACAAGGCCAAAGCTCGAGCTATTGCTAGCATTAGAACTAGCATGCGTGCTCATGGTTGCACCCATTTCAGCTGCTTTTTGAAGCAACGCTGTGGCTGAGAGATGAGGAGAAGGCTGGTTATAGGGTGAGGGAAGGGGGATATTGTGAAGAGGAGCAAAAGACGAGAACTGATCAAGATCGTGAGGCCACAATTTTTGAGCTTCAGCTTGTCTGTTGAAATTTATAACCTGCTCCCTTTTCAATGAGAGCTCACCATGATCATGGACATTAGGACTAGGGAAATGGGGTTGCAGGTGAATACCGGTGTTCTTTTGTTGCTCAGAAGAGAAAAGGAGTTGATTGGGATTAATGCTGTTGTGATTGTTTGGGGTTGCTGCAGTAATGGAGATAGGGTTCGGCACTCTGATGGCTTTTGAGCTCTCTTCTGCCAAGGCATCACAAAAGGCTCTGTGGGTAATAAAGCTGTCCCTCCTGCAACAAATGTATTAAAACAAAATAGAATCATGATGCAAAACGGATGAATGGTAATTAATTTTTTTGACCAAATACTCCAAAAAGAAAACAAAGTGAAAAAGAAGAAAAATACCAAGTTCGTGGTTTAAATAATTTCTAGTAATGTTTTTCATATCCAAAGCCCACTGATTGATAGAGCTAGCATCCTCTTTGTTATACCAACTTTAGTTTGTCCTATATTAATTAATTGTTGAATTGGCCAAGATTCATTTCAGACTAGATTTTAGTTCCATATTCGGCTATCTATTGCAAATCGGTAAAATATCAGAGTTTTCTTTCCTTATTGAAAACCAAAAGCTCCAAAAAAAATGAAAAAGAAAACGCCAAGTCTGCAATACAAATGATCTCTACTCATGCTTTCCTCTTTTTCAAAAGCTTTGGAAGTATCCGTCTCTAATATGCAACACACTGAGGTTCTATTTTCTTAAGGTACGTTATATTAATTGATGATGCATCCTCTCTATTATGATAAGATTAAATTCATTTTGGCTTTCGTCTATTTTAAGTACTCAACCCTCCTCTTTTCTACGTACGTACTGACTCGAGATATTAATCAATGAAAAAAAATACAATACAATACAAATTTTTTTAGGGTTTCATTTCTTTAAAGGACACAAATTAAACAAGCTGGATTATATGCAAAAAAAATACGTTCAATCTGTGATGCGGCTTACCTTGAGAAAATAGTACCACAGTCACACTTGTATTCCCTAGTGCCACAAGTCTTGGAGTGAGCTTTCCAATCGGACTGAACCGCATACTTCTTTGAGCATTTCTCACACTTGTACTTCTTCTCTCCGTGTTTTCTTGAAAAATGCTTCTTGATCCCGGTGAGATCCCCGAGGGCTCTCGAAGGGCAGTGGTGAACGCAAGAAACCTCGGGGCAAATATAAACCTTCTTCTTGACCACGTCTTTGTTTGCTCTCTGCTTCAACTTCCACGGCAGGTTGTGGCCTCTCCTGTGAAGCTGCAGGTTCTGATCTCTTTGGAAACCCTTGTTGCAGATCTCGCACAAGAATCTGTTTGTGGCCATTAGGGTTTTGGGGGACAGCGCTATGACTTCAGCATCTGGGTCTTTAAAAGGATACTTGATTAAAATTAAAGTAAAAAAAAAAAAAAAAGACATGCGCGGCTTTGTTGAGCTAGCAGTAGACGAAAGACAGTTAACTAATTAAATACCTGGATTTCCTGGGAGATTTCTCTTTTTCTTCGCTGGAGTGGGATTTTGAGAAGCTTCACTAGTACTGCTTGTGAAATTTGACATGTCTTCTTCAAGATTCAGATTGAAGCAATACTATTTTCAATTTGTTAATTTGTTGGAGGTGAATCTAGCTAAAAATAGAATCATGAATGAGAACTTAGAAGGATTAATAAAGCTCTCTACCAGTAGGATCTTGATGTGTGTAGAACTTGCAATAAAAAGTTTGCAGCAAATAACAATTTTTTTCAATAGATAAGAAAATTTCAGAAGATCTACTACACTAGCCAGATCGAGAATTGCACCAAGACCCTAGCTTGGAACTTCAAGAATCCTACAAGGGCTAAGAAATAGAAGAAATTAAATAAGAGAAATAAACTTCACCAAGAGATTATATCTCCCCATAGGAAATAAAAAATAAAAAATCAGGTAGGGAGATGATAGATTGTTGAACAGAAGAGAGAGAGGGGGAAGGGTATCCAGTTCACGCATTTCAAGGCCACATCCTCCCAAGCCAACTCTGACGTTGCCTTTCTGTCTTTTTCTTTGTCCCCCTGCGCATATCCACAATTAAATTCTCCCCCCGCCTCTCTCTCTCTCTCTCCACTTTTCTTTTATCAGCCTCGTTAATTACAAGACAAATCCTTGCTAAGTTGTTTTGGTGCTGATTAATTTGGCTTAACCACAGCGTTAGCAAGCAAGTTTCATTGAATAAAAATCTCTCTATGTTGTGGTGCATGCAATCATGGAGAAGTACAATCAAGTGGACTACAATAAAGGACGGCTAGTGGAAAGTATAACCTTTTAGCTCGTAGGCTTGTAGGATTGCAACTACTAATTGAACTTTATGGTGAGAATCGAGCATAGTGATGACTTAACTTTGTGCTGTAACTATTATAATAATGTTGGTAAAAAGGAAGAAGAAAGTTGGAGATTAGAAAAATAATTTTTTTGACTGCCGTGGCATCATGGGTGTTGATTTATCGGAGGTAATTAATAAACAGAACAAGAGATCAAACTGTTCGTATCTTATATGAACATGATTGGCTCACTGATCGAGCTCATGGCGTTTCTATTTTTAGAAATCATCCCATATATTATTCTTCCCTAAGTTCACATTTGTTATATATATAAACATCACCAAACACTAACAAAATTTTAAAACCTTCACCAGAAAAGGTAACAGAAACAAATGTCTAATGCAGGCTTGCGTTCACGCGAAGTTGATATGTAGAAATGGTTTAAAGAAAAATATATTTATAGTGAACTTTCTTTTTCAGCTAGTACTTTATTCCATATAGATATACTTCTCAATTTCTTAAGAATGAAGAATTTTTTTTAGTTATCAAAGATGATATATTTTCTATGTTTGAAGCTTACTTGAGCTATTATGTGGATCACTGTTATAGATTTGAAGCCCTTAAATTAGCTTGAGACTGCTTAGATGGTAGGCGTACATACTTCAACGAGCTGCTTTTTTTTTTTTTTTTTTTGTGTGTGTTTACATTGTTTTCTTTCTCTTACTCTCCCTGATATCAAGAAAAAATTCACATGCAACCTGCAATAGAATCATCAAAAAGCACCACCTGCATGATTCCAATATACGATACACCTTGACAACTCTAGATGTGATGCTTCTCCACTTTCCACTCAACTGTGGATCCCAATGCTCGGAGAGGCTCACCAAAGAAAAAAAGAGGGAGCAAGAGGGTCTTTTGATGTTTTTTGTTTGTAAAGTTGAGTATTTACGACCCATATTAGATATTGATACGGGGACAAATTTTGAAAACCAACTTATTTTCAAACTTATTCATCAAAAACGATTTATTTAAAAATTATTTGCCAAAAGCGACCTAGTTTCAACCAACTAGCTGAAACTATGTCGTTTTTGGTAAAAAAATATCAAACTTCACGGGACTTCAAATCCCATAAAGTTTCTTACATAACAAAACTTCACATAGCTTAAAATCCCGTGAAATTTGGTATTTTTTTGCAAAAAGCGACCCAGTTTCAACCAGTTGGCTGAAACTGGCTAAAACTGGATTGCTTTTGGCAAATAAGTTTCAAAGAAATCGTTTTTTACAATTATTTTTGAAAATGAGTTGTTTTTCAAAATGTCCTTGATATCGCCTCCCATACCATCCCATACAAATTTCCCCAGCTTACTCAGAAACAACTATGACGTCTTTATAATCGATGACACATTATCTGTTTTTTTTTAACAAGAAATCAAACAAGATAAAGTTTGAGACTCAAATTTTCACAACTATCAGTGCTTTTCACAGGAGGGGGGAAACTGCGACCAAACGGCCCTTAATGGCGAAGGTCAAGACAGAGTCACAATATCTTCACAATGTAAAGAAGATATTGCTGGTGACCCAAGCCAAACCGTTTATTCCCGTGGTGCCCTCACAAGCAGACATGCCAACATTCTCAACATGAACATAATGCCAATGAGCCAGTGACATCCATCAACTTGTTTCCATCAATCTTCAGTACCAACTATATATAAATCTTGCTCATTAAGGAAGAAGGATTCCTCATGAAGGGAAAAAAAAAAAACATTGTTTAATAAGCACAAGGACTCATGTGATTGCGTGCTCATCACTATATAATTCAAACAGTGAAGAAAATAATGGAGCTTAGGATTCTCTTTTGGATTTCAGCCCCCACCTGATCACCTCACATGTGTGCTTGTGGTGAGATGAACCTCTCTTCTGTCTCACTTGTGACTTTTGCTTCTCTGCACACGACACATCACGCAGAGATACCATGTGCAGTTAAAATCAGGCTTTTGATATTGACTCCTCATGATGGTAGCTTTTGAATCAGCCAAACCCTTTATCCTCATCTGCACAGACCTCAACAGTACAACGATATGAGCGAAGGCTTAGCTAAGTTAAGCCTCTGTTTGGCTTTTGTTCCCCCTGTTTTCTTTTTTAAAAAGGACAGAAAAAGAAAAAAGAGGACT